GGTACTCCTGCCAAAATTGAACAACTCACGTTTAACAATAACACATTATACAATCGGGCGACACCAGAGGTTTGGATAACATTAAACGCGTACAATATATCATACTAATATATATAATGAAAAGACGTCACTCACTCACCCCGTGAAAGGAAACAAAATAATGGTCATTTCACTCTAAGTTTCGCTGTGAAATTTAATGAATACTGAAATGAATGTAAAGAATTATGTCTAATGATCTGATCACTGGAATCGAATGCATTAAAAACTAATTAAAAATTAACACGAAGATCCATTAAAAGATACCAGGCGGATATTTTGTTAGTATTAAGAGCATTTGTTACGCGCCTTAACTGTTAGTGTTTTTACGAAACAAAAATCTCGGTGGACCCCATAATATAACCCGCGGCATATTTCTGTCGGAATTTGTAGAACAGTTCACACAAATGACTCAACACGGGGCTCAATGAAGTAAATTTAAGTAACGTATAAATATAAACCACTCATTTTTATTATTTTGATGTTTTGAGCAATTTCACTGGGTTTTAAAAATGAACAATAAAACAACGAGTTTAATTTTGCGGATTTTACGTATTTGCGAAATTAAAGAAAAGCGAATGATCAATGAATTTACAGTATATTAATATCACATGATAATGAAAATCTCTATTTGCAAGTAAATTCATGTCAAATTTACCAAATTTAAACCAAATTTAACTCATTTTGTTTTAATTCTGATCGTGTTGGTGATTATTATTCTTATTAAAATATTGTCCATATTACACTACTACTCATTACTCAAGAAACATTACTCTATTTCCCATGTTAATGTATTACACGTATTACAGTATCACAATGTTATACTATTACTCATTATGTATTACTCATGTCACAATAGTACTCATGTCATACTGTTAATCGTGTTACATATAGTCACGTCTCACTCTTTCTCATATTACAATGTATTGCACTCATTCATAATACAGTATCGGCCATTTGATTTCAAGTCCAAGTGAATATATCATAAAAAGATAATTATTGGTGGAAGGATTGTTAATGGAAAGTACTAGTACATCACAATACAACTGAAGAGAAAATTGAATGATTTCGCTTTTTTTTTTACTAATTCTGAATTTCTGAAGAAACTCTGGCTCATATGTGGGAAGAAATATATCTGCGGACAAGGGGGCATAATTAGTTTCCAATGGAATGCCAATGCTTTGTTGACAGACAAACTCCGCACACATGTTGTCAATCGAATATTCAAGCATACCGATGATGGAATACATTTTAATGGAACGAATCTTATGTCTGTTGAGTTATCTAAAGTGGGTCACCGAGAATGCTCAGCAAGACAAGACACATCAGATCAATATTTTCATCTGCAGTTTCAAGTAACTGCACATTAAATCCAGAATATCTAAACTCAGCTGGCACCAGTCTGAGAACTGTGTGATCAAGAGAATTACTGGAGAAATCTATAGGGATCTGTAGGAGTGCCAGGATAACCTAAATAATCATTAAGAAAATACTGGACTGCAAAACAATCGTCAGATTCACAATCATTATTATCAATTTTACTAATGGGACTAACCTCGGTCACATTCTATTCATCTGCACTGTAGAATGTGCAGGGCTACAACAAGTTTCTGGTGAAAGTATGCATTCTATCATATATAAGAACATAAACTGGAAAATCTGGCTTTTGTAAGACCACTACGTGACATTTATCAAATTTAAGCTGCTATGAAGTATTGTTTGTCTTCTTGTCATAACTTGTTCACCCCTTGACAAATCACCCTGCACAATAACATCTGAATGTTTGCCATAAATTGTCACTATACTCAAAGTCTGCTTCATTACTTGTAGGCTCATCCTAACAAAGACCAAAAATTAAATCAATATGAAGGTGAGATACTTGAGCAAACATGAGAAAATAGGGAACATAGGCAGTTGAGTCATGCCATATGCAGTTGTGTGCATACATCATGCTTCCAAAGTACTTCCAATCAAACTTCTGAGATGGATTCAAAGTACCAAGCATGTATGTTTCTAGTGTTCTGTCCTTGTAATTCCCTGTGAATGATAGGATGAGTTTCAGCTTTCCTGCATGTCTGTTTGTGCGCACGGTTATTTCATCAAATCACACTCACAGTTGTTATACTGCCTAGCATGCAATCTATAAAGAATGTCACAAGGACAAAGTTATTCCACATGTCTTAACCACAGTGTTTGCTTTCTGGTCTGTTGTTACATATGACTGGGCGTATCTTGAAAAGTGGTCTGTAACAACCAACACGTTCTCCTGTCAGTTCGGATAAATTATAGAATAGGGTAGGTGCATAAGTAACATAACTGTTAACAGTTATGTAATAGAGCATATACACCGAAAATAGTAACGAACCATATGCATTCGCTAATAGAGCTAATGAATGTTACGCACTAGGTTCCTAATATTGTTATTAAAGTTTCTTTGCTGACGTGTGATGGAGAGACAGCTTATATCGGTGTTAGTTAACATCCCTTGATGAAATCGTCTATCAAAAAAAGATATCTAACTCAAGGGGGGAATCCAAACAGGTTCACTATAAAAAGCCTGATCTCCGCGAATGTTTGTCTTCCACAGCGTTGTAACGGGATTCTTATCCGAAACCGTGTCCGTACACTGTAAATCTAAGTTTGTTTGTCCCTGCTTTGAAATCATTTAAAGAGTACTATGATTAAACACATAGTATTGTACTTAAAATTGTAAATGCGTTATTTTACGACGCCACTGTTTTAAAATAAAACATTTTTACTGTTTTGTGGTGAAACATTTGTCCCCACTTTATAAGAACACTTAAAGAGTTTATAATCTGCATAATTATGAAAAGTGTACATAATATAGTCAGTGTTTTGATGCCAATATTTCCGGAATGTTTTTGCATATAACACATTATGTGACCACGTAATGAAAAGTGTTCATTACCACAACACTTTCAAAAGTGTTTTCATTGGATACACATTTTAGTAAGTGTTTCCACAATGAACATGTAATGATAAGCGCTTATTACCACAATAAATTAAAAAGTGCTTTCAATCGCATTGTGAAACAACAAATTCTCGATTCGTGTGCGTTTACTAAAATTCGATTTTTCGTAAAACTGTAGAACAATATTCAATAATTGTGAACATGGACACTTTAGAACAGATGAAACTGAAAAAAACTATTTCTTCTTTGATATAAATGAACGCGCACATTATGTTGAATATATTCTCTCCAAGCACATCATAATCCTGGGAATCTGATAAATAATGGAACAATTAAAAAATAATTAATTTCAGAGAAACAGTCACACTTTTCAATTATCTATCAATGGAAATGTTTTCCCTCACTTTTAAAATCAGGGCTCAGTGTGGTATATTAAAAGTATATTAACCTAACCAGAGCTCTTCTAGTAAAGAGACGGGAAAGCCCAACAATAATCCATGTCAACCGGACAAACATAATATTAGCAAAATCTAGTAAGGACAGCGATATTAGAATAACGATTTTCAGCTGCCATTACACAGCTGGTGGCGCTGGCTCTACCAGTTACATTTTACTCACGTTTTGTAAAGGGCGACAATACCACCATACCCTCAACTTTATTTACGATAGCTTCTGGTTCCCGTCTTCTCTCATTAAAAGGCATTTGGTCCAAGTTGTTGCTTTTTTAAACGGCGTGCCACCTGTCCACATACTCCTGATTGTATATTCAAATCTTTAAATGAGCATGCGCACGACACAAGTCACCAGGCACTTGAACACGCGACATATAATATTGTTCATCGTGAGAAACCGTCGTTTATGAAAGGTATTCCAAAAAAGCAGCAACCGAAATTATTGTTGAATATCAGTTTTGTTTTTGTATTGTATTTATAGTATTTCTAAATAATAGTGAAATAGTTATGTATTATTATGCAAATTTGCACATGTGTGGTAATCACTAATTAGACGGCATTCAACATGGACGGCCCGCTAATAAAAAAATAAATATGAAGAAAATGCATCTAATGATTAGGTCACGCCTGTCTGGCTCTGTGTCATCCAGTTTATGAAATTGAGCATTGATAACAACACCGTGCTTGTTGAATTTCATCGGCTACTGAACTTATGGCAAGTAGATGGTAGGCACATGCGCAAACTACAGGAATACTAAAATCATTAAATTTATAGCTACGTACGCAGTATGTCTGCTGACTATTTTCATCGAGATACATGTTTTAGTTACTCATATGAACTTGTGTATATGTCGTATATATACACACTTAGATTGAAGTGTTTTAGATTGAAACATTACATATGTGTTCGTCATCAACATCATTGGTGATTTTGTTTTCAAACTGAACAGTTTACGCGAACATATGATTTAAACCACCACCATTTAGGTCAATGGCATGAATATATGATGTTTACCCAGCTCAAGTCCAGACTACATTTTTTCACTCAATTTTGTTAGTACTACTGGCATAGAGTTGGTTGCATTAATCGATAAATTTCATATCAGTAAACACTTTAATGACACATCTATGTCCCGTCAAACTTGTGCTTAATGTTAAAAAAGTGTTTTTTATTACTTCAACAAACGGTTTACTAATAAATACTAAAACACCGCTGTTTTGATTGAAAATACAGGTGTTTTATAATATATAACAATGTGTTTTCAATCAAAACAGTGTGTTTTATTGAAAAAATTACAACAACAGAAAATTGCACCCAGGATTTAGATTGCAAACTCTGTAGGCTCCATTTCTGTGGGATTTTTCCCGTTTTAATAATAACGCAATCTGCCTGTTTTGTGAAGGTTTGTCACCATGACGTTGCGAATATAGACTTTATTATCATTTAATTAAAACGTTTTTCCAAAAAAATGTCACTTTTAGTAGAATACAATATCTGACATGCCCACGTGAAAATAGATAGTAATTTATTTTATAAGACACGTGACTTTGATCATAACTCTTGATTGGTATATGTGATTTTATTTACATAAGTTTGTTCTTATCCTGTCCATAACATTAAGCTCATATGGATGAGGCATGTCTTCAATCTTACTGGCATTTTCCAGTTCTTCTACCTATAACAAAAAAGTTACGTTTAATTTATAAAAGCTTCCTACTCCAGTCAACAACATACACTTTTCCCATTCCGGTGCTTCCATGAGCCTTCAGTATGTCATAATACTGTCATTGATGTATGACGTCACAATTCATCTAAGGATGCGCAGAACATACGCAGCAATGTGAATATGTGTCAATACTTAAAAGACATTCGACCGGCCGCCAGTTTTGACAGTGATAAACACCAAACAAATATTCTCACAAAAGAAGCATTTGGGAATCAAACGCTTAGATATTCACTTAAAGTACAAGAGATTACACGACTCACAAAAACATTGTTGTTAACTGTATATCTTTTATTGTTTTCGTTCTCAAACTTGTGGCATTCTTCGTCAAAACAAGTTAGATTCGTACGATCGTTGAATTATTAGAAATATTATATACCATGGTGTTCATGTATATTTCTCTTACTGATTTGATCATGTTGTGTAATTGTCAGTTTTGTTTTGTGTTCTTGAACTTGTAAATTTGTCTATGCGACTTCTGTTTGAAGATCTATTGTTGGGTATGTTACTTCCACTTTTCCATACATCCTCACACATTATATGAGTTTGCATCACGTGATGTAAAGGGGCGCTCTTCACATATATCAAGAATCATGCATAATTATGTAAGTTGCATATCATTACCTACGTTCGACATTAGTTATATTTACCTCATCATCAGTGAGACTCCATCCCACAGCACCCATATTATCATTCAACTGTTGTAAAGTCTTTACTCCAATTATGACTGAAGGGACAGTGTCTTTTTGTAACAACCAACGAATAGCAACTTGCGCTACAGACTTCCCTGAAATTAATATATAACTCATCGGGAATCGGAAATATGTGTAAAATGTCACCTTATAGATGAAAATCACAAAATATTTGATTCACAAAGATTATTTGGAAAGTATATACTAGAAAAAAACAAGCAGGTACATGGAGAGTAACAAAGAATGATTTCAATAAATTCATTAAGATCAAAAGCAATATAAAGTGAAAAATGTCCGCATTTAAACTTTATAATCAATGTCATACCATGCTTGGTGGCAATTGTTCTCATAATTTCCAATAACTTCCAAACTTGTTCATTTTCCGAGAACTTCGTGTAGCTGAAGTGACAGGAATTTTCACGCTTAGCACGGTCACCTTCCACGTAAGCTATCCTACTGCCCTCAGGTGGTTGTACATCACGATGAATCTTTCCTGATAACCACCCTCTGAATCATGAAATGTAGACAAACTATAATAATTGAGTGAGCATAATCGAACCATACAATAGACCATTTTTCGTTCACTGCGAGAATCACGCGTTATGCGTGAAATAAAACATAAAAACAGGACAAACAAAGGTCATAGCGTCGTACAATCTCCCGGGCAGAGTTCTATTACGAATAAGTACTTTCGGTGATCTAACCGCAAGGAACTCTGGGAAGGAGAATGAGCGTCGTAGTGGCGTCAAATATCGCGTGGGATTCGACAAACGCGAAAATATTTTGTGGGATATTTCCATGCTTAATAATGTGCTGTACACATTTGATTATAGACAATTTCGATTAAGTGAGGGTATTCGAAAGCAATATTCCTCTGTCGAAGATCGGCCGGTCGATGTGAGCTACGAAATAAAAAAATTTAAAAGAGTTCAAAATCAAATCGTTCGATTTTTGCGGCAGACATTCGACGCGCGTCTTTTATACATCTCGCGAGATCTCGCAGTTGTACGGAAAATCACCTATTAATCGAAAACGTTTAGAAGAACATACATGTGCAGGAATAACACTTGATCTTCAATTTCTATAGAAGATATATTGTTATACCAATAACAATATGTCGTCTATTAAAATCAAGCTTAATTACGTGAAATGCCATTTATTTGTAAATTAGAAATAAAATGAATAATTGTTACCCTTTAAGTGGGCTCCATGGAATTATTCCTAGTCCCTCATTCTTGCATACATCAACAAGTTCTAATTCAATACCACGGCAGAGTAAACTGTATTGAGCCTGAATTGGATAATTGGGTTTACAGACTTGTAATGCGAACATCATGTAATGACATCGTGAATATTGATATCAAATATTCGAAAAAAATCACGACCTTACATATATTTCTTTATGGTTTATATGTATCTCATATACCCATATTAGGTATATATTATAAATATTCATGTCCTGATATCATAATAATGGATACCCATTTCTTTATATGCAAATAGGGCATTCATGATTATTCACATATTGCTCAATAATCTTTTATATATTATATGCCTAATTTAGAAAAACTAACATGTATTTACATCCAAATAAGGAAATTCATGATTATTCATATATGACTTCATAATCTTTTTACGTATATCGCATACGCACCTGTAAGCCGATCCATGGGTTAAGACCCATATACCGAGACTCGCATACTATTTGTTGTAGTTGCCATCCCTTCACGTTGCTAGCTCCAATGTATCGAACTTTACCACATTTCACCAAATCGTCCAAAGTACGCAAAGTTTCTTGGAGGGGCGTTGCTTTGTCCCAACAATGTATCTGTTGAAAAATGATCAATAACAAATATACATGTTTAATTGTTGTAACGATATTCCGGTATTGTGTTAACTCAATTAACGAACAGGGCAAAACATGGAAATTCTATTTTAACTAATTCCTTACAATCGATCTATGATGTATGAATAGTATTGGCACAAACCTGATAAAGATCAATATAATCAGTTTGTAATCTTTTTAAACTTTCTTCAACATTCCATATAATATGTTTTCTACTCAAACCGCTGCCATTGGCATTGCCGCCATCCATGTTGAAACGAACTTTTGATGCGATTACCATATTCTCGCGATTCTGTCGCCTGAAGTGAAAGTGCAAATATGTGAGGGGTGACGAATTTAATATATACATATCTATGCGCTTTAGCACATCCATATATGGCAGTGAGAGCACATGAATAAATAATTACCAGATTCAAATATAAACAACGCACAATTGTACAATTCATAACTGCATAGGTTTATGGACAAGAGGGAACTTCAATTTGTGATATCAAGAAATTATTATCACGATTTATGATTCGTTTGTGTCGGTGTTATTTTTAATTTAGTTTGTAAAAAAAAATGCGTAGTTATATATTGTGTGTACTTTCCAAATCAAAAACTGTGACAGCTTTTTGACAAATCTTGGTGAATTAATAAGATCGAATTGCAAATATACCATTTAATGATTTCTGTTTCAGGTGGTATTTTGTCCCAATACATTATAGTTAACCGCAAAGTATGACAAGTATCTATTTGATATAAGTGTTTACAAGTTATCGTTCGACATACAATAACGTAAATTTTTGGAAATGTGTGTGTGTGAACATGAGTCGTTGAGGGCGTGTGTCGTGTACGAACTTCAAACGAGTCCGCAGCGTTACTTACGTAACCGAAAAACCTATCACGCGCATTGAAACCCGTAAATCGCCTATTGTGATGCAGTGGCAATATGACTGGTGTTCAGGATTCACACTTTTATTTGGGAACTTAGTTCTCGCGATAACTCCCTCAAAGTATCTAATGTGTCCAGGTTTTCAGCGGTGATTTCAGATCATATTTCAAACTTCATATTTGTGTATTTACTTGTGAAGCCAGCTACCAACATGTTGTTCTGCCAACCCAGCCTGGTATACATCGGCTGTGTCAATAAAGTTGCCTCCTAAATCAACAAATCTATCCATTAACGTGTGTGACATCTCTTCAGTGGTGTTGCCAGGGTAATGTCCATCCTATGAAATAGTAGTATCATGCAAAAAAACATAGTAAGCAGAATGTAAACGAGATACAACCCCGAAACTCTGGGTAGGGGTTCACTATCAAATGACCTGGTGTTACTTATTTAATGATTTTCAAGAAATCCCAGATCTCTTCTCTTTTCTTTATCACATAAGTAACTATTTTGCTTATCATTATACTTACAGTTGCGTCATTGCGCGTGACCTGTAACGAGCTACGGTGGCCCGTAACGACAAACTCGCTCCGCAATGTAGTTTCTCCATAAGTTGATTTTTTTCCTCTTTGCGGAATGTTTGTTTTTTCCTCCTGATACATATACTTTCTCTTAGCGATATATTTTGTTTTGTGTGCACAAGTGCATAGGAAATAGCATTGTTCTACTTTAATCGTTAACAAATTGTTTTACCGATAGCCGCACAAAACCTGAAGGCTATTGATGTCAATATTGCGATAGCGGTGTGTAATTGACATTCACTTGTTTTTACCGATATTGACACAATAATTCCAAACGCCAATGACCAAATGTTCAAATAGTTCATAAAAGAGTCCCATTCAAATGAAAAGCTGTGATTGAATGTGTGGATACATACGTCACCGGACGTATATATACATTCATCGCTGTGTGTGTGTCTTTCTATATATATATATATATATATATATATATATATATATATATATATATATATATAT